CCAGCAAACTCAGATGGAAACCTAAGCATGGCATAAGAAGAAAAGCTTTAAAACAACGGAGGTAGAATTTCAGAACAAAACACCAAAAGAAACGTACCTCTTCTTGAAAAATCTTAACACTTCAACTGCAGCATCAGCCTCACACTCATTGTAGAGGGATAATGTGCCAGATTTTTTATCATGGAGCTCCTTCCCATCAACAATATCAAAGAATACATAGGGACCAAGACCCTTAGTCCCATGAAATGATGCAACTTTGCTGGATAACTGGTCTCCATCAACCAACTTACCATCATAAAAATGGAAAGAAGGAAAGCGGCATATCTCTGGGTGCATCCTATACTGTCATTTAAAGAAACCATTATATGACAGATGGGTTATAGGTGCTGATAAAGAAAAAACCAAAACACTTGTACAACAACAAGACTGGTTAGTTGTTATTTGGTGGGCATAAAGAGAATCATGTTTGTTAAAACTTGGGTGATTGACAAAAGTTCAGACACAATCCTTTTTCTGAAGACAAATGATACAATGCATAACGGTTACTGCACCATGTGCAAACAATTTAGCCAGCTGAGAGTTGATCAAGGAAACTGCAGCATGAAATTACTGGAAGCCCTATCACAGCAACAGTTCATTCATCTCACATCAATTGGCTGCTGACTCATGCAACCTATAGCCATCTCAAAATCTTGAAAATATATTTTGGAACTAAAAGGTCTACAAAGTTTGATTGAAAACTACCTGCTGTGTGAGCATGTTAACAGGATAACCAGCTCTTTGCAAGCGTTCAAACATGCTACATTGGAAAGAAAATCTGCTGGCAATATTAGAGAGAACTGTGGCTGGAAGCTGTTTTGGATCACCCACCTTCAACACCAATATTACACTTCAGTTAATATTATTAACCTTCATGACAAAATAATGCATCCTAAGCTTACCATCACACATCTAGTTTCCTTTGATTTTAATAGTTGAAGTGGTATGAGGGAAGCAGGCTCCAGAGCCTGAAAGTTGCAAAAACGTAAATTTTTAGGAAAGCCTGAATGGTGATCGATTCTATAAACATCAAAAGGACAAAGAGAGAGAAACCAGGAAAAAGAAAAGAACAAACAAAAAACAGTTCCATACTTGAGCAGCTTCATCAATCACAACTGCATCAAATAGGACACCCTCGGATGAACTGCTAAATCTCTGGCCGGACACAGATGCAGCACAAACCCCATATAGATCTCCACCACAGCCACTCAGTGTAGTCACCACAATCTCAGCCTCTTTTAGTATAGCCTTCCGTAATTTATGTCTAAGAGCTTTTGTCTCTTCAATAGCTTTCCTCTCCCGTGCCTGAGCAGCAGCGAGATCCATGTATATTGATTTCTTTTTTGCATACAATATTCGAAGCTTTGCTTCTACTTCTGCATCAGACATTTCCTTGGCATTATCTGCTTTATCAGTCCCTCCTTCCAATAAACAGTTAGAATCAGAATCTCCATCCCGTAAACTAGCTCTTTTAGCTTCATAACATTTGATAGTATCAACCAACTTCTCAAGATTAGACCGCAAGAATGTCAAAGTATCCTCGCCGGCATCAATCTTTGAATCAGTTGCATTCATTTTCTCCTCAGCTATGCGGTGATCAACAAGCGTATCAATGAAGAATGGCAATGAATTAGGATGAACTGTTTTCGTATTACCTACTCTAACGATATAAGGCTTGTACATCGTCCCATCACTGCCATAAAGGCCTTCACTAGTTATTCTTGACACTAGTTCATCTACTGCAGCATTTGATTGTGCACAGATGAGAATTCTTCTTTTACTGCAGTTACCCATTGATTTATCATTCTCTAAATCCTCATTAAGTTGTCTAGCTAAGGCTGCGTCCTGCCATGCCCTAGCAACAGCTGCAGCTTGACAAATTCGCTGTCTTGAAGCAGTGCAAGACATTCCAGTAGACTTTAGACCTCCATTTGATGATCTCTTGGTGTCCACTTGGGAGAAAGAAAGCAACGAACTAACAATGGCCACAATCACTCGGGTCTTCCCGGTACCTAATAGAAGTTGTCCAACAATGAACAGAATTAAAAAAAATAAAATCATAGTACAATGAATAAATAAAGACACAAAAATAACACACCTGGAGGACCCTGTATTAGAGACAATTGAAAATCCTTTTTAGGATCAAAAGGTCCAATAGCAGCACTGATAGCTTGCAGTTGACTGTCATTATATGCCGATTTGAGGACTTGCTGTAAAGGTCTAGATAGTTTATTGAAACTCTCACCGTAATGTTCACAGTGATTGTAACTGGTGGGATTCAAGATAACAGGAAGCAAAGGAATTCCCTTAATAGCCGACAATGCTTGAAATTCTCTGAGTTGAGAAGTTATGGTCATTAGACGACTAATGCACCATTTGCTTCGCGCAACAAGAAACTTTTGAGCTCGCATCAGATGAGGTCTATTTTGCAAGTACAGCCTGATGAGTAGGATGCTTGATCTCCTCTTACAATCTCTTTCACGCTTTTCCACCTGCAAACAGTCGGGATGCTTCAATATCACAACACAAAGACATCCACATGATCACATCCCAAATGTCCAATAGATAGTACACAGTTTTCAAAGAAATCAAAAGCTCTGACATTATGATTACATAAATTCCAGAGTAAAAGTCATCAGACAAATAACAACCAGAAATCAAAACAAAGGTTGAAACAGGTGTTACATATGTGTAAAGCACAACACTATCATCTATTAGAAATTTGGCTGGGAAGTCATCACCTGCTCAGAGAATTATCACAGGAAGGCATGTACATGCACGGGCATGTCTGCACGCACTTTTTTTAACAAGTTAAATATTTCTTTGATAATAACAAGGCCAACTTGGCTGTATACAAGTGATACCAAAAAAAAGGAGAAAACCTACAAAATATGGTTATCTCAAAAAGACACCAATACTCTATACAAATAGGAACTACATGGGTGCTCCAAAAGAAAATAAGGGATCAAAGACTACTCATTTGAGCAAAGCTCATCTTCACCCCTTCACAAATTCTCCTATTCCTCTCTTTCCAAATGACCCACATCAAAGCAAAAAGCCTTGTGCCTTCTTCTAGTAGCTCCACTTTACAGTAGAACATCACTTCTTGACAGTTCTTGGCATAATCCAAGAAACTCCAAACCATCTAAAAGATATTCTTCCATAACCTCATGGCTAAATTGCAATGGAATAGAATAGGTCCACCTCCTCACTCGCCTCCTTACAAAGGAAACACTAGCTCATGCAGACAACCGTTCGTTTTTTAAGATTCTCTGCTGTCAAAATCACGAGAAGAACCACACCTTCCTCGCACCTTAATTATCCCTCTAACTTATTTTTTTGGATAAATTATTCTTAAATGAGAATAACTAACAGCCCTTGGGTTAGCCTAGTAGTCAACGAAGTGGGTCAAGAACCATGAGGTCAAATGTTCAAATCCAAATAGAGGCACAAACACTAGGTGATTTCTTCCCATCTATCCAAACATTGGTTGGCAGAGTTACCCAGGCTTGTAGGAGGTAGCAGGTACCCAATGAAGTCAATCGAGGTTGGCTCAAACACAACAGTTATAAAAAAAATGAGGATAAACAAAGGTAAATTTTAGAATAGTCAAATAAACAAATGAAGTAAGAGAGAGGAAAAGGTAGGATTCAAAAAGAGTTAACGCACTCATTAATGAATTAATGGTGATCACCAAATACCCATTGATGTCTTAAGGACAAAACATATATTAAAGCTTGTATTTTAAACATGCGATATGAAGTCATGATTTTCTTTGAGAATGGTAACTTGAGTATTAAAGAAAAAGGCACTAGGATAGTGCCAAAACCATAAATACAGATAGAAAGGACAGCAGATTCAATTATGAAATCCTAACCGTTACAGGGCACCTATTAGATCTACTAAGGATATTGCCTCCTCTACAAAACGTTCTTTATACCAAAATGAAAAAGAAGAAAGCACTTCCATCTTAAAATTTTGTAAAGAGTTACTTCTTCCTTTAAAAATTCTTAAATTTCTTTCTTGCAAAACAATATGAAGTCATGATTTCAAATCAGCATTTGGACATGCGATTTGGGATCATGATTTCTTTTTTTTGATAAAGGTAACATTTCTATATCAATCATCAGCTCAAAGCTGGTATCAAAACATTTACATCATATCCTCCCTCCACACGTGTGTCGGGCATAAACAAAAGATAAAGAAAAGAAAGAAGAAAAAAGAGAACTATCCCTAGATCCTCCTTTCACCTTTATAAGGACCCTAGAATGTCTGCAATAGCCACAGGGTCATCTATATACTCTGAACTACACTAATAGCAAAAAGTGATAATGCAGTTCATTTTAATCTTGTGCAGAGGGCTGCTCTTGTTATCAAAATTCCTAGAATTCCTAGAATTCCATATGGTCCACCAAATAACAGCTGGGACAATTTTCCATCTACTCTTGTCTATGCTACCACTGCCCTCCATATTCCAGCTTTCTAGAGCCTGTCCTATTCTCCCTGGAACAGTCCAACTTATACCTCTGAAGCTAGTAAACAAATTCCACAACTGGCCAACCACTTTACAATGCAAGAACAGATGATTAATTGTCTCTGCAACCTGCTCACAAAAACAACATCTTGGGCACATTTGTATTCCCCTCTTCATAAGATTCTCTTGTGTAAGTACAACCTCTTTCACCACCAACCAAGTAAAAACTACCACTTTATATGGTATTTTAACCTTCCATATAAGCTTCCAAGGCAGAAAGTTAACTTGGGATCCCATCTGATTCATATTTCTATATGCAGAACTAACGGTGAATAAACCTTTATTATGACATTTCCATTTAAGAGTGTCTTCTCCTTCCTTGAATCCTAAGAACTGATCAAGTGTTCCATAAAATTCAGCCAATCTTTCCAACTCCCAGTCTTGCATCAGTCTTCTGTAGGTAAGGTTCCATCCATGTTCAGACCAAACTTCATAAAGAGTCGACTCTTGTTGTTGGTTCAGGTGATGAATATCTGGGAACAAGCGTTTGAGGCTTCCATTCTCTAACCAGTTATCTTCCCAAAACCTGATCTTCCTCCCATTGTTCACATTACATTCAGTTTTTGCATAGAAACCATGCCATAAGTTTCTAATTGATCTCCACAAACTGGTTCCATATGTGGATGTCACTTCATTAGTCTTCCAGGGTCCTTCCTTCCCATATTTGGCCTGGATCACCCTACCCCACAAAGATTGTTCTTCTAAAGGAAATCTCCACAACCACTTCATAAGAAGACTTTTGTTCTGCTTCCTAAGATTTTTGATTGCCAGTCCTCCCTGCTTCTTGGATAGTAGCAGTGTCTTCCATTCGACTAGGTGGAAACCTTTATATTCCTTCTCACCGTGCCACAAAAAATTCCTTCTCAGAGCATCAATTCTTTCTTCCACCTTTGCTGGAAGGGGAAAAACTGACATTAAGTAAGTTGGTAATGCATCTAGGACTGAGTTAATCAGCACTAATCTATCACCTCTTGATAAATATTGAGACTTCCACCTAGACAATCTTTTCTCACATCTTTCCACTACTCCATTCCATATCTCCTTGGATTTGCTATTGGCACCCAAAGGCATACCCAAGTATGTTGCTGGTAACTGTCCTATTTCTACACCCAAAATATCCACCAAATTTTGTATTCTGGGCACCTCATTGATTGGAAAGATGTGACTCTTCCTCCAATTAATGTGCAACCCTGATACTGACTCAAATAGTATGAGAACTATCCTCAAAATTTTTAGTTGGCTGTCTTCTGCATCACAAAAAATCAAAGTGTCATCTGCATATTGCAGATGGGTGATTTCCAATCTAGTATTCACCTCTTTGACCACATTAAAACCCCTTATCCAATCATTCCTATGCGCTGTTTTAATCATACTGTTCAAGCCTTCCATGACTAGCAAAAATAAGAAAGGTGAGATTTCAACTTTTTCATGATTTCAACTTTTTTAAAATGTAAAATATGACGCATAAGTTTATATTTTGTACAGAAATCATTTTAAATTTTGAAAAAAAAAACAATTAAAAAAAATCATGCTCGGCGTTAAGAGATTGTATGTACCACGTGCAATGATGATTATTACTGAATTACTAGTTACTACTATTGTTGGCTAGTGGATCTTTATAAAATTATGTGTATTTAGAAGTTTGTAATAAATAGTAAACATTTATTTACAAAAGGAACATGGAGATATGCAATTTATCAATGTGATGCCTTAGGATATTCTAATATATTGTTTATGAACTACAGACAGGAGAGGATAAATTGTGGTGGACAGGAGATGACAAGGGAATGTTCGAAGTCAACAAATCCTACAAGTTGATGGATTAGACAGATCAACAGTGCTCAATGGCTAAGAGGAAGCAGTCCTTACACAGGACAATGTTTTGAAGAGGGGGATAACCTTGTGTTCCAGGTGGTGGTGAAACATCTAAGATTGTTAACCATCTATTTTTACATTGCAAGTACACCCATCATCTGTGGAGAATATTCCTAAGCCTCAAAGGCATCTCCTGGACAATGCCCAGGAAGGTGGCTGAGGTATTACTATGCTGGGAGGAAGCAGGTGTATATGCTAAGGACAGAGGTAGATGGAGAGTTATCCTGGGGGATATCTGGTGGGATGTTTGGAAAGAAAGGAATTCAAGATGTTTTGAGAGCATAGAGAACAATGTGCAGAAAGTTAAATTAAACTGCATTTTACTTTTAGTCTTTTGGTGTAATCAGTTATACTCTAATGACACTGTCTCTATTATTGATGTGCTAGACTCCATTTAGACGTAGAGAAGTGAAATCAGGAGTATACTTGTATATAAGGTTACAGTACCCATGTACTGTTTTGTGATATAATACAAAGTTACCAAGTTCAAAAAAAAACACTATGGTTTGCTCATTTGATAAGATTGTATAAGGAATTGAAAAACAATTGATAGTTTTCAAAACTTGTTGGGTTTTCATGTTTATGAGAATTACAATTTAAGAAATCCAAATAGCATGTCCAAAGTCCAAACAAAACTTCAAACTTCATATCAATCTGATTGACTTCATATCACATGTCCAAATGGGCCCTAAGAGTTTATGCACCGTAAAAAAAAATTCAACAGAGGTTATACCAAAAGCAACCAATCTCCTCCGAAATAGATAATTAAACATCAACCAATAACTAGTCACAGCATAATAAAGATCTACTCAGAAAGTACACTCACCTTTCCAACCATGTGAATATCAGGACAAGAATTCCTCAGGGGTTGTCTTGTAAGCAAAATAAGATCATTGTCTGAGCAGCTTTTAGAACCAGATAAATCAACATCCTCGTGAACACAGCGAATGAAGTGAAAATCATCAATTCTTTCAACTGACATTACAGAAAGACTGCCACAAGACATCTCTTCTAGAGAAGTTATCTCCTGAAAGGAACTCTGCAATTGTGCTTTAAATTCTTCCAGTATAAGTGGACGAAAAATTTCAACATATTCATCAACGGATTGGAAACAAACAGGAACCTCCTTTAATTTACTCAAACTATCATTCTTTCCTTCACCTGCAGTTGTCAATCCAACTGTTAAAAAGTAATTGCACTCCAGAATAGGTCTATACCAATCATCAAGCCTCACAGCTTTAAATCTTTTTACTCCATCATCCAATCTCAAAGCGTTAGACCTATTTTCAACTGGTAAGCCAAGTTGAATGACTTTCCTTTTCGGACCAGAGAAACTTGTTTTTAGGGAAAATGATTGTTGACGTCTAGCTGAAGTGAGAAAAACTGACTCCCGATCATTGCTGGTTTCACTTACAAGCTCTTTCAAGACTGTATCATTAGGTTTTATATCATGTTCATCAGCCTCCCCGTCATTCTCTTTCATACTCACACCTCCATAAGATGAGCCCCCTAGAGCAGAATGAAGCTCAGAGGTGACATGACTATTTTCTTTGGAATTCAGATTTGTATAATTTAAATGGCACTTGATATCAGTTTCCTTGTTCTTAGGCTCCATAGCTTTTGATTTGACAAGAGGCGAATCTTTTCTGGCATGTAGTGCATTTAATTTAAGTCTTGGGATATCCAGATCCAAACAAAGATCAATTGGCTGAGAAATTTTCCTGGAGTCAATTTTTTTAGCAGGATCAGAATACACAACTCTCCCAGCAACATGGCCAACAAGTTTAGGATCAAAGCTGATACAAGAATTGATATCTGCACCAGCAGAAGTATCTGTTTCTCTTTCATCACCTGAATGAACTATCGAATTACCTCTTTCGTCACCAACAAATGTTTTCAAGTCTGGAATATGCATTTTTTTACCCACCCTACTAAAAGGTGTGGCTGCTTCAGCTAAAGAGTTGTTGGTATGAACAAATTCTTCACCAGGCAAACATTTGGAATCAATACTAGTTTTTTTCAAGTCAATGTACCTCTCATCCACAAGTGAAACAGAAAGCCGAGCAACTTGCTTGGTCAACTCATTCATTGGAATATTATCTGCAATCCAGCAACATGGTAAAAGAAACTTTATTTTAAAAAAACTGATCATTATCATAATGGCACAACAGACAAGAAGTACACGATAACTTAACAAACAGAGTAATAAACTCGCCACATGAAATAAGCTTCTCAATATCTGCAGCTAATGAGGCAGGGATACCACTGCATGATGCTTTAATCAGAATCAGCAATGAAATTAAAGCGTCTTTCCAATATCTGACCACTACTGCAAGTGGTGAATGCCCCCAATCTATCAGATCACGAAGACATTGTGTCACTGCATTATTAAGCACGGTAGTCGGATCTCGGCAAAGCCTTCCGAAAACAACAGGAAGGGTCTCTAATAATCTGATGCAGGTCATCTGGAATAAGAAGAAAGCATACTTTGTTATAAAAGTTGCAGAAACCCTTTGATTGAGCCATCAAAGATTTTGGTCTTGATTATAAGATGATCTTCACATCCTCAGCATTAACATTTTCCAACAAAGTGGTCAGCTATAGGCCAAATACATGCACTGCAAATTTTTCAAAAGTCTGTAGGCCACATTTAAGAACTTCAAATCAACAAAATTAATCATACCACGTTTTCATCTTTCTTTTGGAACTAGTGAATAATGAGATCTCATTATCATGTTATTGAAGAAATATTTTGGCAGAACTCAACAGACAATTCAAATGCCAGACTACATTGAGGATACGAGAGAACATGCACAATACAATTTCCATACATGTGAAAGAAAATTCATACTCCAGTGCTACCCACAAATAAGAAAAACAATTTAGTACTAAACAAGTGTATGAAGCCGATGATTTCAGATTTGGGGAAGGCCAAGAGCTGACCAGTGGTCTAGAAAACAACAAATTATCACTCCCAGGACACCAACTTTAACAATGTCAGGTAGAGTTGCTGAGATTTAGTATTGCGTGGGTGATGCCGAGAACTGTAATAGAAATAATGTTTAGCTGGGCTTTTAGAAGACAGGAGGAGATGCAGGGCATAGGAAGTGGCTCCCCTGGAACTGATGTGGACCATGTGGAGAGATGAGATCAGGCGAGCTTTTGATGGTGTAGAGAAAAACTTTGTACACTTGAAAAATAGCCTTGTTTCTCTTATTTCTTTTTGGTGCACCCATGAGGCTCCTAGTTGTATAGATGATTGGGTAGCATTCGTAGAAAACCATATACTTTTTTAAGATTTTCTATTTGTATGCTCCTTGTCTACCGGCTACTTTTCGCCTTTTGTTTATAATACTCCCTCTGTCAATGGCGGAGCCAGAATTTTCAATAAGGGGGTTCAAAATCTAAAAAAATAGACACACGAAGTAGCTGACGGGGTTCGACATCTACTGTATACCTAAAAAATTATTTTAACCATGTATAAATCATATAATTTTCCGCCGAAGGGGGTTCGGATGAACCCCCTCATAATAGGGTGGCTCCGCCACTGCCCTCCGTTTCAATTTGTTTGTCCTATTTTTACTTGGCACTAAGTTTAAGAAAATAAGGAAGACTTGGATTTTGTGGTCTTAAATTAAAGATGTCAAATGTACCAAAATGCCCTTTAATATTGTGGTCTTAAACATGTCACATGGAAAGTTGGTATTAAAGAGTTGCTAATTATGGAAGGAAGCATTCTTTTTAAATCAGACTAAAAAGTTAAGACAAACAAATTGGAATGGACGGAGTTATTTTTACTTCATCAAAAAAATATCATTTACAGTTTCCAAAAGATTCCATAAGCTCTTAAATGAAGAAGGGGGCAGGGATATCATGCTGGGGAAGTTTGAACATTCCGAGAGGCGTAGAAATTTTAGGTATTGTAGGTGCATAAAGGTTACAGGGGTTGAAGGGGCTATTCATAAAATGAGGGGAACTGCCACAAGACCGGATGAAATTTCGTTATGGTAATGCAATGCAAGAGGTCGGAAATCTGGTTGTTTCTGATGATGAAAAGAGCTTTTATCTTATGTGAAATTTATGAAAACCCAAAATGTCGGTAATGTTAGAAGACGACCTACGGCATCTGATGGTCTTGGATTTGTGGAAGAACGCAGGCGAGGCAGGTATGGAGTGATTGACTGGGTTGTGTTTACTATCATTTTTAGGATGGCCAAAATGCCAGAAGATTGAAGGTGAAGCATAATGGTTCCGCGGTACAAGAACAAGAGTGGTGTTCAAAAATTGCAACAGGGAAAAGTGCCAGAGCTCTTGAATTTGGGTCGTGAAGATAATTTCAAAATTGTCTTTATTTAATATTGAAGCAAGAAGGGAGAAATTGGGAAAGAAGGGGAAGTCAACCTGTGAAAATGAGGGGGTATATGGATTTTTATACAGGGAAAAGCTACCATATACCCAACTCCTATACTAGACAAAATGTTGTTATGAAAATTGCAATTAATAGGATGAATTGATGAGTATTTCTTGTATACGGAGTTTTCCCCTAAATGTCAGTTAAATTATTTACCTTATTCCAAAAAAAAGGAAGGGTGATGAATTTTTTATCATATTCATCAGTTGGAAGCAAAAGGGGATGCTCTTTTCTATTGGAAGTTCACTATTTATTATGAGTATCGTAGTTTTCAAACAACAGAGCCACTCTCAACCTACTCTGCACAACAAGGAGGTAACATGCACTCCTGAACCATAAAGTTGTAAATAATGCATGTAACCAGGAAAGAAAGAAATATCACTAGATAGTAGATAAACACACTAAGATCCATACCTGAGATGGTTTTTGACCTATAAAAACCTTCCCAGCTGCCAAGCACTTCTGAACAGAGATCCAAGCCATTTCTGAGAGTAAGCAACAAAATTTCTCCCATAAAATGGAACTGACAACTGATTTATGTGCGTCCATGTGCTCACTTTGAGCTTGAAGCACGGGCTGCTTTAAGAATCCCCCTTGAGAAGAAAATTTTGAGATACTAGAGTCCTCAGAGGATTTTCTGACTAAAGGTTGGCTACATGAATTCCCTTCTTTTAGTAGTTTGCACAAAACAAAAAAGAAATGATGCAAAGTCTGAAATTCTGATAGAACGCAGTCCAACTGAACCTGGAAAAGAGGCAAACAAGATTATGACTGACAAATATAACTGGAGAACAATTTTCATAGTATTACAACTTTAGAAGAAATGCAGCCACAAGAAAGGGAAATTGTGAGAAATATATTATTGAAATTGTGTATCTACATTATTACATTGAGACCCTATTTATAGACACTACATTGGACTCCTTTTCAAATTAGGATTCCTATTTCTATTCCTATTCCTATTCTAAGTAGGATTTATATATTTATTCCTATTCTAACAGAAATAAAAGACAGCACAGGAATTGCACCAAGGAAATAGAGATATAGGGTGCTATAAATTCCAATGCTGGCTAACACTCAAAAAGAGTGATTCCGCTATTAGATCTTACCAGCTTTAGAGCATGTCTTAACCCTGTAGTGGTAGCTGAGAGTGAAGATGGGCTAGAGCAAAGAAACTGCAGTCCACTTGTTAGACCTCGTGTATTTGAAACTTGTTCAAGAATACACCGACCAACATGTCTCGCATTCTGCAGCAACCAAATAAGGTGGATACAGCATTAACGCAGAGGCAAGATCCTTCATCAAAAATACAAAATGATTGACTCAGTTGTCCAATTGTATGGAACTTTTGGAATGAAACTATTACATCGTTGGGATCCACGAGCAGAAGAATCAAACTGTCACTCATCATTGGCTCCCATGTCCACTGCTTCCTTAGCTCTCCTTGCTCCATTCTGATGATGAAATGAGCAGTCGACCTGTAATAACCTCCAGAAAATAATCAAGAAAAGTGCTTATATGAACACGAAATTCTTCTGATCACTAGCAAAACCTCAGAATCAACAGCATTAAGCCATAGGATCAACTGCAAACCTCTTGAAAAGCCTAATTAGAGGCATACACTTTGTTGAGACCCTAATGGAGTTTTTAGCCTCCACTCCCTCACCACCATCATTTGAACCAGATGGAACCTTCCAATTGAAAACATGAGAGATATCTGAACCACAGTTTCTCAACCAGTGACTGGCTGAAGGTGTCATACCAGACTCACTATCAGATTCAAGTAAAGAAAGACGTGACAGAGCCCAGAAAACAGACTTAGCAAATGATACTGGAAGAATCAAGGGATCAATTTCAACTAAAACCTCAAACCACAACATTGGGATGCACATCCAATCCCCACATAAATCTGATGTTATATCAGCTTGAGAACTAAATTCGTTCCAACAACTGACATCATTTTCTTCAAAATCACAACCAAACAAATTTCCTCGGTCCTCTTCTTCATCAAGCTGTAACGGCAAGCATCTTTCACCACTTGTAGCAAGTTGATACTTCAAAATTGAAGTTACCAGAGCGGAAGCATCAGAAACTATAATAGTTTGAATAACATCAAATGCAGGTTGACGGAGAGAACTGTGAAGTGATGAATCCTTCAAAGAGGACACAAGAGAAGGTCCCCTGCAGAATTAAGCAGGACAATGCAAAGGTATGTATCAGAAGCCACTATCCCACATTCAATTTTGGATTGATGGCTGCTTTGAGACAGCACTCAAGAGTATATGCATATTGAAATATGAGAATTTCAACAAAGTAATACAATGAAGTAGAAGAGAGGTTCATGAAAACACTATACTCAAGTATGCAATCTTTCAAGAATAGTCTAGGTCCATTGTCGAGAATGATGTACTATTAAAAATATTGTTAATGATAATGAGAGATTATTTCATATCAACACAATTCTGTAAATAAGGTGACTTACCTTAGATTAGGCAAATAACCACTACAATGTCACTTGTATTAAGATTACTGTTTAAGACTAATAATTTCTCTCTTCTCTCACGCTCTTTAACGCAGTATTGAACTTCACATGGTTTCAGAATCAAAGAGAAATAATGTCTGCATCCAGGCCAACATAGTGACTGGAAAAGTTCTCTTTTTTTTTTTCTTTTTTTTTTAATTGGAAGTAGGCATCAGCCCATTTATTAATATAAAAAAGGAAACAACACTATTTACAAAGCCAAGGTCCAACTGGTCCAAAAGAAGCAAAAGTTCACTTTTCTTTAATGTATGGTCACCGGAAAAGTTTTTTCAGCATGTTTGAGCAAAGGTTTATAAACTGCTTAAAGATTTGTGTCAATCCCGTCTCCAATAAGCCAACAAACTACACCAGACAAGACATACATTGACCCAACAGTACTAAGCGCCACTGCACAAACCCTCGCTCGCTGTCACATTGACTGCCATGCATTGGCACACGAAATCATGGACAATGGTTGTCTCAGTCATTGCCATGTGTACAGCATGTAAGAAACAAACTTTGTGCAATGATTTCTAGGAATATTCTTGATTCTTCTTTTCAAGCTGGAGCATATAGGTCATAGGTCCAATTATAATATAGTGCACACTAATTTAACAGATATACTTAGGAGTAACAGTATCTTTCTAAATAAGGTAACTTACCTTATTTTATTTTTTTTGATGACTAAATAAGGTAACTTACCTTATTAAAGTAGGCTAACAACTCACATACAGGAAACAATGATATAATGACTTTAATCATCTCGAAGGTTGTTTCTTCTCCTGGTGTCTCTCTCTTTCACACAATCAACATAACTCCAATGTTTTTGCTTCACTTACAAGGTCAAATTAGACTTCGTTCAAATTCACTTTTAAGGTAAAATTCAATTTTGCTCAATTAAATGACAAGAACAAATAGCACAAACTACTATCATATGCCTCTTTAACATAATGCACAATTTTTTATCAAGAGAGAATTGACAAAAATTCCTGTTTGACTTTTGAAAGGTCTGCATAAGAGGTATTAACGCGAAGGGAGGAGTAAGTGCAGAAAGCAAATATCAACAAGATGTAGGCCATGTTTGGTCAAGTTAGGAAAGGGCATCACTTCATCGCTTAAGGGATGAAGTGATGAGAAACGAGGGGTTATCGCTTCGCCTCAATTATGAACATTTTGAATTTGAAAAAAGAAAGATACATCTCATTCGCTCGCTTCGACCCTCGCCCTGATCCATAAATGACTATAAGGAACCAACAACTCTCTCTTAAACAACCTATATCCTCCCCACTACGGACCCTCTGCTATCCATTGCAGCAGAGCTGTTTCATGGGGCCATGCACTTTAGAGAAGAAATTGATCCCAACGGAAAGCATACCATTCTTTGAATCTAAACTTTGAATAGATAATTAATATCAATCTTATTATTCATCAGATGCTGAAATTAGTTATTTTATTTGGTTATTATAGTACTAAAATCATATATTTTGGAATTTTCTGCTCCTAGTAATGTGTGTGATTCACTTCAAAAAATAAGTGTACGCTTCACTTCACACTTTGAGCTTCAAGCCCCAAGGACCTTGACGCTTTTTCCGCTTCTCTTTTAAACATTGTGACTGAAGCAAATCTAAGGTAACCAATGCAAGGGACGAAATTAACAGTCACTCAATCATATGAATAATTGACCTCTAGGTACATACCACATATGTGCACATTCATATGGCGGAGAAGGCGGGTTCATAGTATAACCTCGGTGAACTATGAGAAGAGCTATCTGCAATATATATTGAATCTCGCGATGAATAAGACGGAACATAAACATCAACACACCTTGGGCTGAAGACAAGATAATAACCTGGCAAGCTTTTTTTCTCATGAGCAAGCTGAAGTTGCTACTCACAGTAACTTGATGCAGGAGAAAATAAAGAAGATTCCTCCTTTGTTTTTCATGTTCTCCATCTTGTAAAGCTTCTAGAGACTGCAAGGTTTGCACATGAGAGCGGAAACGTAACTAGGACCACAGACAGATCAATTGAAAGAAGATAACCACACATTACTTAAATTACATAGCTGAGTGAAAAATATGCCTGTAGAAAAGGCAGGAAAAGATCAAAGATTTCCTTATGACTTTTCTCATTTCGAGTATGGAAACACTGGCCCAATAGTGTATTCCGCATCACACTTGGAGATAAAGAAGTCTTCAACCAAAGCTTATATCCTTAGCAAAGTGTGATTGGAGATATATCAGGTATTAGCCGAAGGAGTGAATTCAGAAAACTAAAAAGGTATGTATGGAAACATACCAAGCATCTCAAACAATAATCTCAGACAATTAACAGCATAAGAAAATTCTGGTGAATCATCACTGATATGGTTGAGAACAACACTCAGAAAAATGGGATAACGATCTAAAATGCCTTCTTCAAAAGCTGGAGGCTCCAAGAATCCAAGCCTTCAAGACACAGAAAAGGTAACAATGAGAAAAATAAAACTGAAGAATACAATAGCTCGCACACAAGGGAATAGAAGCCAACTACTTCCTACAATGCTTTGATCCCAAGCCATACAGTAACTCGATCCAACTCAACCCTAGGCCTTAGATTCGGCGTAGACAATGGCAAAACATCTGCTGCCAAATAAGAAATGTACTTCTTCAGCAAAAGCTGCAAAGCATCCAAATCTGCTGATTGCCTACAATGAAACAACAAATTAAAAAGACATCAATAAGGTGTGTACATATTAGTTACTCTCATTGTTCTAGTAAGAAAAAACAGAGGAAGTCTTTCCTAAAGAAAGGCTATTCTAACAATACTTCAGGATGGTAATCTAAGATATTAACTTATTAAGGCAGAAAATCAGAGCCTAATTTACTTTCTTAATTTGTGTAAGTGTCAAGCGGGCTATAATGAGCTAATATCACTTCTTTTTCTTCTTTTTCTTCTTCTTTTGATAACTACCTCATTTATCTCTTAATATGGACTATTTTACAAGCTGAAACTTTTTACATTGGCATGAAGCAGCTTCTTCTTCGGTTCTCTGGTTTTGCACACGAGGAACTTGGGGTCTGGAGACAACCATAACCTCAAGCTCCACCTGCAGAACCAAGAGGACCAGCTTGATTTATTTAGAGAGGAGAATTCATTAAAAGAGGACGGCATTTCTTTTAAAGAGTTCATTCAAGGAGGGTAGATTTTTTAAAACATTTCAGCAGGCCTTTGTGAAACAAGGCTTGTCACAGAACTCTTCCTGGGGAAATACTCAATTTGTGTCAGTTCACACTCACTTTGGCTCGCATGTATAAGTTCTCTTTTGTTTTTCCATTTGGAGTGTGTGGGCATGCCCATCCTCTAGGGAGGAACTCTTCCTACCTCTATGTTTCCTATACCTGTAAGTGTGGAAGACAGCATGGATGCTTTGAGAAGGAAATTGTTATGGCGGGTGTTAGAATAGAAATAAGTATTTCCTACTTAGAATAGAAATAAGAATAGGAATAGGAATAGGAATAAGAATAGGAATCCTAGTTGGAAAAGGATTCCAATGTAGTGTCTATAAATAGGGTCTCAATGTAACTATTTAGATACACAATTCAATAATATTTTTCGTATATATTTCTCACATGGTATCAGAGCATTGGTGAGAACAAACAAGTCACCGTATGTCTATGTCAATTTCCGGTGACTGTTGGGTCTGATTTTGTTATACTTTTTTCTTTCTGTGGGTGTTGTGCGAAAACCAACACCACCACGAGGCTCGGAAAGCCCCCGCGACCAAACCCCAGCCAAAACCACCGGAAAACACCACCCCACGCGCTCTCACGCGCCTATCGGAGGTGGCAGTTTCCGGCGAGATCTGTCTCACGCGCCGGCGCGTGAGGGCTTTTCTGATCATATTTTTTTGAGATTTTTTTGACAGTTGGGGTCGTCCAGCCAATCCGACCAGGCCCATACTGTTTTTGACCAGATCCGATCGCCGGAATTAGAGTTCCAGCTATTTCCAGGCAGTTTCCGGCGACTTTTCTTCGAGATTTGAATTTTCCGAGACAAATTTAGCATAATGTCTTTTGGGTGTGATGTTTTTGGTTCCAAAAATATGGGGATTGGAAGTTCTAGCCCTATAATCACTTCAAAACTTTTATTGGGAAGTTCAAACTATTTATCTTGGGCTTCCTCGGTTGAGTTGTGGTGCAAGGGTCAAGGTGTCCAAGATCACTTAACGAACAAGGCTTATGAGGTAGATGTAAAGGCAAAGACTAGTGAGGAAGATGCAAAAGCCAAAGCACAATGGGAGAAAGTAGATGCTCAATTATGTAGTCTCCTATGGCGTTCTATTGATTTCAAGTTGATGCCCTTGTTTCGCCCATTCCAGACGTGTTATACAGTTTGGGAAAAGGCTCGTGCTTTATACACTAATGACATATCTCGATTCTATGATGTGATATCTCGATTGACCAACTTAAAGAAACAAGAATCCGATATGTCTACTTACTTAGGACAGGTACAGGCAGTCATGGAGGAATTTGACACATTAATGCCAGTTACTACGAATGTGGAAAAACAACAAGAACACAGACAAACATTGTTTCTAGTTCTTACTCTTGCTGGACTTCCTCCTGATCATGATTCTGTACGTGATCAGATTTTAGCTAGCCCTACAGTTCCTACAATCGATGAATTATTCTCTCGTCTCCTTCGTCTTGCGGCACCTCCCAGTCACAAGGTAGTTTCATCACCCACTGTTGACTCATCTATTCTTGCATCTCAAACCTTTGAAAAGCGTACATATCAATCTATGGAGAATCGGCGAGGAGGAGGGCGTTTTGGGAAACCTCGATCCAAGTGTAGTCATTGTCATAAGCCTGGACACACTCGTGATATATGTTATATTTTGCATGGTCCACCACCCAGTTATGATCCTATTGTTCTAAAGGAATATAATGAGTTCCTTCGAAATCGCGCAAGTAAACAGACATCTCCACCAGTAGCATATGGTGCTCAACCTAATCAACCATCCAATAATGCTCATATTGCTCAGACAGAATATGATGAGTTCCTTCAGTATCGTGCAAATAAGCAAACGTCTCCACAAGTAGTTTCGGTTGCACAACCTGATGTCTCTGTTGCGGGTAATTCTTTTGCTTGTGTGTCGCAATCTAGTACTCTTGGAACATGGGTCATGGACTCTGGGGCTTCTGATCATATCTCTGGTAATAAATCACTTTTATCCGATATTGTTTATTCACAATCTCTTCCAGCTATTACTTTAGCCAATGGGATCCAAACCAAACCAAAAGGGGTTGGAAAAGCCAAACCCCTATCTTCTGTCACCCTAGACTCTGTTCTTTATGTCCCTGGTTCTCCTTTTAATCTAGCATCTGTTAGTCGTTTGACGAAAGCCCTACATTGTAGCATAACTTTTTTCGATGATTTTTTTCTCATGCAGGACCGCAGTACGGGACAGATGATTGGAACAGGACATGAATCACAAGGCCTTTACTATCTTACCTCTTCAAATTCCTTAGCAGCATGCTCCATTACAGATTCCCCAGATTTAATTCACAAACGTTTGGGACATCCGAGTCTATCCAAACTGCAAAAGATGGTGCCTAGTTTGTCTAGTTTATCCACATTAGATTGTGAGTCGTGTCAACTTGGGAAACACACTCGTGCTACGTTTTCTCGTAGTACTGAGGGTCGTTCAGAGTCTATTTTTTCATTAGTTCATTCTGATATTTGGGGTCCTAGTAGAGTCAGTTCCACCTTAGGATTTCGTTATTTTGTTAGTTTCATTGATGATTATTCAAAATGTACTTGGGTTTTCTTAATGAAAGATCGTTCTGAGTTATTTTCTATTTTCAAAAGTTTCTTTGCTGAAATACAAAATCAGTTTGGTGTTTCTATTCGTACTTTTCGTAGTGATAATGCCTTAGAATACTTATCCTCCCAATTTCGGGAGTTTATGACTCACCAAGGCATTATTCACCAGACTACTTGTCCATACACCCCTCAACAAAATGGTGTAGCTGAAAGAAAAAATCGGCATCTTATTGAGACCGCTCGTACTCTTCTCCTTGAATCCAATGTTCCATTGCGTTTTTGGGGAGATGCAGTTCTTACGTCTTGTTATTTGATAAATAGAATGCCCTCTTCTTCTATTCAGAATCAGGTTCCCCATTCCATACTGTTTCCTCAGTCACATCTCTATCCTATCCCTCCTCGTGTCTTTGGGAGCACATGCTTCGTTCATAACTTAGCCCCAGGAAAAGATAAATTAGCTCCTCGTGCCCTCAAATGTGTCTTTCTTGGTTACTCTCGAGTCCAAAAAGGGTATCGTTGTTATTCACATGATCTTCATCGATACCTTATGTCTGCTGATGTTACATTTTTTGAGTCTCAGCCTTACTATACATCTTCTGATCATCCTGATGTCTCTATGGTCTTACCCATACCTCAGGTTTTACCTGTGCCAACCTTTGTGGAATCTACGGTTACTTCTACATCTCCAGTTGTAGTGCCACCACTACTAACTTATCATCGCCGTCCACGTCCAACCCTAGTCCCAGATGATTCATGTCATGCGCCAGACCCTGCTCCTACTGCGGACTTGCCTCCTCCTAGCCAACCGCTTGCACTTCAAAAAGGTATACGATCCACTCGAAATACTAACCCACATTATACCTTCTTAAGTTATCATCGTCTATCATCACCCCATTATGCATTTGTGTCGTCTTTGTCCTCTATTTCCATTCCTAAGACTACAGGTGAAGCACTTTCTCATTCTGGATGGAGGCAGGCTATGGTTGATGAGATGTCTGCTTTACATAAGAGTGGTACTTGGGAGCTTGTCTCCCTTCCTGCAGGTAAATCTACTGTTGGTTGTCGTTGGGTTTATGCAGTCAAAATTGGTCCAGACGGTCAGGTTGATCGACTTAAGGCTCGCCTTGTTGCCAAAGGGTATACTCAGATATTTGGGCTAGATTATAGTGACACTTTCGCTCCTGTGGCTAAAATTGCATCTGTTCGTCTTTTTCTATCTATGGCTGCCGTTCGTCATTGGCCTCTTCATCAGTTGGACATTAAGAATGCTTTTCTGCATGGTGATCTTGAGGAAGAAGTCTATATGGAGCAACCACCTGGTTTTGTTGCTCAGGGGGAGTCTAGTAGCCTTGTATGTCGATTGCGCAGGTCACTCTATGGTCTAAAACAGTCTCCTCGAGCTTGGTTCGGGAAGTTCAGCACAGTAATTCAGGAGTTTGGCATGACTCGTAGTGGAGTTGATCACTCTGTGTTTTATCGGCATTCTGCACCAAGTCGATGTATCTATTTGGTTGTTTACGTTGATGATATTGTTATCACCGGTAATGATCAAGATGGTATCACCGATTTGAAGCAACATCTCTTTAAGCACTTCCAAACTAAAGACCTTGGCAGATTGAAGTATTTTCTAGGTATTGAGGTTGCTCAGTCTAGATCAGGTATTGTTATTTCTCAGCGCAAGTATGCCTTAGACATTCTTGAGGAGACAGGGATGATGGGATGTAGACCTGTTGACACTCCTATGGATCCGAATGTTAAACTTCTTCCAGGACAGGGGGAGCCACTTAGTAATCCTGAAAGGTATAGACGACTTGTTGGAAAGTTGAATTATCTCACAGTGACTAGACCTGACATCTCTTTTCCTGTGAGTGTTGTAAGTCAGTTTATGACTTCCCCTTGTGATAGTCATTGGGAAGCAGTTGTTCGTATTCTGCGATATATAAAGTCAGCTCCCGGTAAAGGACTACTCTTTGAGGATCAAGGCCATGAGCATATCATTGGATATACAGACGCTGATTGGGCAGGATCACCCTCTGACAGACGTTCGACATCCGGATATTGTGTTTTAGTAGGAGGTAATTTGGTGTCGTGGAAGAGCAAGAAACAGAATGTGGTTGCTCGATCTAGTGCAGAATCAGAATATCGAGCAATGGCGACAGCAACTTGTGAGCTAGTTTGGATCAAACAGTTGCTGGGAGAACTAAAATTTGGCAAAGTTGATAAGATGGAACTTGTGTGTGATAATCAAGCGGCTCTTCATATCGCATCAAATCCAGTGTTTCATGAAAGGACTAAGCACATTGAGATTGACTGTCACTTTGTCAGAGAAAAGATACTCTCGGGAGATATTGTTACGAAATTTGTGAAGTCAAATGATCAGCTTGCAGATATCTTCACCAAGTCCCTTACATGTCCTCGTATTAATTACATCTGTAACAAGCTAGGTACATATGATTTGTATGCACCAGCTTGAGGGGGAGTGTTAGAATAGAAATAAGTATTTCCTACTTAGAATAGAAATAAGAATAGGAATAGGAATAGGAATAAGAATAGGAATCCTAGTTGGAAAAGGATTCCAATGTAGTGTCTATAAATAGGGTCTCAATGTAACTATTTAGATACACAATTCAATAATATTTTTCGTATATATTTCTCACAGCGGGAAAATAAAGAGGAGAGATTTCCACTAACTTAAAACGGAAAAATCTGGACAGCGCCGAAGGAAGCATGCCTAACACAAGACAACCTCAGGAAAAAAGGTGTAATCCTCATCAACAGATGTGTCATGTGCAAGCAAACCAATGAGAGTGTTAATCACCTTTTTTTGCACTGCCCTGCAGCAGTTAGCCTATGGTATTTTTTCTACTCTATACTTGGCCTACAATGGGTAATGCCCTACAATATGAAGGATGCTAAAGCCAGCTGGATATTGTGGAGAGTTGACAAATCCATCAAAAAGATCTGGAGAATGATCCCAGCAGCCATTTTTTGGAGCACATGGAAAGAGAGAAACAATAGATGCTTTAATGGAATATCAACCTCTTTCTGCACTCTTAAAGGCCAATGTCTAGTTATTTTATTTAGCTGCCACTTTTTTGCCAATGTAAACAGTGTGGATAACCTTTTGGATTTTGTTAGTTCCATATCTCTAGAATAGTAGAGTATTAGGGTTCCCCTTCGACTGTTTCACAAGTTTTTGCCAAGCTAACTCCATATTTTTCTGTTTGGAGCAGCTTTCTTGCACACTGTGCTTTTGTAACTTTGCATTCTTGATGCTTTCAAATATCATTTAATTACTTTACCAAACAAAAAAAATATGCCTATTAGAAAAAAAGAAAGGGGTCTGGGAATCAGGAATTTATAGCAGCAAAACAAGTGTTTTTCTAATGAATTTGTTAGGAGGTTCACAAAAGAAGAGCAACTAGTCAACAGATGCTACATGTGCTTGTGCAACTCAGAATCTATTAATCCCTTGTTCCTTCATTGCACAGTTGCAACAGGCCTATGGAACATGTTCTTCTCACTGTTTGAACTCACTTGGGTCATGCCAAGATCATTGAGAGAGGCTTTTGTGTGTTGAAGTTCTTGGAAAGTTGGGAAGTCCATCAAGCAGATCTGGTCTTTGGTTCCAGCCTGTATTTTGTGGTGCTTATGGACGGAGAGGAACAAAAGATGTTTTGATGGCACCCCAACTCCCATCTCTACCTTTAAAGCAAGATGTTTGATTACTCTTTTTGGTTGGGTTAATCTCTCTCCTGTACTTGGTGCCGATTCTTTCCTGGAATTTATCAGCTCCATAGATCTCTGTTGTTAGCTGTTTAGATAGCTTTTTTTTTGCCTTTTTGGGAGCTGCTATTTCTTTCTTTTGTAATCTGTGCATCTACTTGATGCTTTGTTAATGACATTCTTCTTACTTCATCAAAAAAAAAAAAAAGAGCAACTATTCTGGAGCACAGTGATAAAAGCAAAGTATAGCAAAGAAGGATTCTGGATGACTAAAAGGGTGCCCACTATTTATGGAATTAGTTAGTACAGAACTATCAGAAACTTAAGGTTGAATCTCAAAGTCAGATTGAGATTTAAAGTCAAGGATGGCAGAAAAATCATATTTTGGGAGGTAATTGGTTGGGTAATGGAAAACTGAAGTTGTTATTCCATGATTTATATGATTTAAGTCTTCAAAAGGGGCATGCTTTGAAGGAGTTCTGGTCCCCACAAGGGTGATAGCCTTTTTTGAAAGTTATTACACTCTGGGAGGTGCCAAGGATAACATAATTCTTCAAAATTTTGGAGTAAAGCAAGGGGCTGCAAGAGGTGAGGATACACTGAGATGGCAAAACTGTTCAAGTGGAATTTATACAGTTAGTTCAGCTTATAAGGATTTGAATCAGGTTGAATCCCAGATTACATTTTGGCAATGAAAACATATTTGAAAAGTTAAGGTGGCTTGCTCCTCCTGGTTGGCTGCAAGAGAGCTTGTGCTGACTCGTGATAATCTTTTTTTTTATAAAGGTAAAGTTACTAACTCATGATAAACCTAGAAAGAGGGGGATACAGTTGTGTTCAAGATGCTACTTGTTGTGTAGGCAAGAGGAAGAAACAATAAGTCATCTGATTTTACATAGCAGAATTACAAGACACTTAACAGATTTGTTCATCAATCCTGGAGTTTCTAGACAATGCCACGAAGAACTCCTTGAGTTGTAGCATTCTAGAACAAAGGTGGAAACTGCAAAAGTAGCAAAGATTGATGGAAAAATGTAACATCAACTAATTGGTGGACAATAAGGGAGGAGAGAAACTCGAGGTGTTCAGACAATACAAGTAGCAATTTACAACAAATTAAGATGATTGTATTCTTCTTTCAAATTTTTGGTGTAAATCTGAATACATAGATGAACCTGAGGCAATCATAGATGTATTAGATTCCCCGTAGGGTGAGCAAGGCTGTTTTGTGTAATTTATTTGCCTTTCTCTTTTTTGGCAATCTCATTTAGTCACTCCATTTTGGTTACCAATGCACTTTTTGTTCTGATATGTATATACACAAAGGAATATGTTATCTTTTCAAAAATAAAATCTAGTGTTCTCTCCTGGAAAGCCCACCAAGCAAAATCTTCCCATTATTGGTGGTGTCTATGTTGTTTAGTAATGTGTTCAGTCAATTTCTATCCCACATAACTACAAGCTTTGCTGTCCTTCAAAATATTTTTGAAGTAAAGCCCTGAAACAATCCTCTTCTTAGAGACTGTTAGGATTGGCTTTTTAAAGTTCTTTTAAGCCAAAAGCACTTTTGGAGTGTTTGGGTAAAGTAAAAAAATGCTTATAAGCACTTGGTTTTAAGCAATAATGATAAAAATAAGCCAGAAGCCATAAGTTTGAATTTTTAACTTATGGATTTTGGCTTATGAGTCAAAAACTAAAAGTCAATCCAAACAGGCTCTTAAGTGTTGAAACAATCCCACCAAAATTGGTTTTCTGGATGGAAGAAGACACCTATCCTGCTATATGAATCTCCAAAAAAAAGGAATGAAATAGTCTTTGCATAATTTCTAGCAGAATAAAATAGCGAGCAGTTAAGATAAGTTTTAAGGTGATATTTATAGTTCTAAGCACTGAAGGAGTTCTACAGATTTATTTCTACATCTATGTGGCTTTCTTTGACCTGGGATTTTTCTTTCATCTAAGGGATGATTATGCAAAGCAATTCAAAACAGTTATCCAGTCAGGTGCAAAGTATTTATAATCATTGTTTAAGTCTTCATCAAAAAAAGTTACAATCAATGTTAAGTCTTAACCGCCAAAAACATTTGACACAAATTGTTGGAGGCATAACAAACAGCAGGCTAAAGTAAAAGAAGAACAGGTGCACTGACAACCAAGGAATCGCATCTGATAGTATGAGTTTCATACCAATTGAAGCAAAAAAGACCTAGGAGAAAAATGACGACATGGTTTTTTTATGAAGTAATAAATTTCACTAATAAAACGGCAAAAGCCTTCCCGTATACAACAAGTATACCAAAAAAAAATAGAAAACCTTACAAGAAAACATGATTTTCTGTAATAACACCCAATCATCTACACATGTATGAATCCTATGATGCACCAAAAAGAAAGAAGAGAAAATAGGCTATCCCCGCCATATACTTGAACTGGCTAGAGTTACAAACCACTGATTATAGCCGCACACAAAGCTAATAGATACAATACCTCAATTTACTCATGCGTCCAGCCAGTCGCAAACCGATAGAACGAGCTCTTCGACCTTTATGGAAAAGTAACGCATAAACTCCCTATATAAAAATGGAAAAATCAAATTAACATGACTGTAACAAAAGACAGTTGAAGCATAATATGAAGTAGAAACATAAAGCATAGAAAGGCAGGTCAAACCGGATACTGTTGGAGTCCACCCAAGGTTAGTTCATGAGTTTTATCGATTGTGTCAATGAATGTTTCAAATTCACTTGCCAAATAAGAATCATCTAACAAAATTGGGAACATTAAAACCTGCAACTCAAAAAAGAGAGCTCTATATCATCACATAAATAAAAATAACAAATGATCACAAATCAAGATGGAACGGAATAAAATGAGAAAATAACATATGGAATTAGCATCAAATCAGTTAAGTAAACTAAAATTGAATTGCTACTAATAAATCAGGATACTCATGGTCATTATCAATGCTTAATTAAATTGTTCAGGGTTAGGGTTGATTTTCAAGTGTTTGTAGCCTGTATGGCTGATCAAGTCAACCCAAGATGCCACTCACAATGCAGCCCCTGAAAAGTGCACACTGTAACCAGAGTGCATCCGCGCTGGCCATGTCATTTTCAGTGGTATTTCCATACTGATGATGCAATGTTTGATGCACATTTACAGATGATTGAGCTGGATTACCAGACAGCTCAATCCATCTTTTTTAGCAACAAGACAGATATTCCCTGCTCATTGTCAGGCACTCAACTTGTACAGATACTTTGGGGGGATAGTTTACATCTCCCATCACATGGAAAATCCTTTTCCCTCCATAGCCTAATACCCTACTAGCTTAATGACAAGAATTTAAACCTAAGACTTCAAGTTTTAGGTATTCTATGTCCATTTTGTATTATTTTCTGATTGTAGCTATTTCATTAGGTTTTGGAATCTCCTGCTGTAGTTCTTAGAATATTTAAGTGCTATCCATAAGGGGAAAGTTTGTGCAGCACTTTAGATGGCAGGTGTCAGCTGGTTGACGGTAAGAAGATCACTAAATCTCCAAGATAATTCATGACTTAACATTGAGTATGAGCAGTTTTACAATGAACATATATTTGATATTTGTATGCGATTTCTCCCTCCCTTTCTCTGCTTCTTCTACCCTGTGTCTCTCTTCTTCTCTGAATTTTGGTCGGCAGTAAACTCAGTCACCTCTTACTTTATTCTTTTTCCCCTCTCTTTCCCTCTCTTTATATATTCTCTTCTTGCTTCTTGCAATTCTCTGCTAATGCAAAAGTTTTCTACAGCCATTTTTCTACTTGAGAGCAATCTAAAGTCTAAACTTGCCCTTCTTCTTCTTTTTTATTTCTGATGACAAAAAACTTGCCCCTTTATTAGAATTAAAATTAAGGATGCTGCATCAACTGAATACAATCCTTCTCCTGCTACAACTTCTGGATAAAGGAATGACACAGAGATGGACCACTAAGCATTGGAAGGAGGGAGAAGTGTGAATGGAAACACCTCAAACATGACGCCAACTATTTCTCCACTGCCATGCACTATGTCGTAGTCTCCACATCTTAATCTGTTATTAATCTCTTTAAGATGTTGACTGATTCTTTCTTCATCAAGAGTGCGCAAGACTTCAAGAAGAGGACCAATGGAAGTTGGGTCATATTCTGTACTGTAAAGCTCTTGGGCTTGATGGTATTGGCATATACATTGAGTGCACTGGCGCATTTCCCTAGATGTTCTGTCGAGTAGGAGCTTTAGAGGAGAATCGGTGCGATCATCCTTAAAATAATTATAGAAAGTCTCCAGAAGAGGTCCCATGAGGTCCCAGGAACCACACCAAATATGATTTTCTTGGGGCATAAAAATCAAGTAGTTGAATGCATCTGAAAACCTGCATAGAAAGTAAAAGGGACTAAATTTGGCTGGCGCACGTAGAAATGGGGAAAATATAATTTTGATGAAATTGGGAGCAAGACCATTCTTCTTTGAGCTGCCGGAAACGATGTCGCTTGAGAGGGTCTACAGATGCAATGTCGTCGTCCTCGTCTTCTTCTTCGATGCCCCTCCATCGGTCCAACAGCTCTCTCCTTGTGACCACTTTCTTCGACATTCCTTCCTCTGTGGAACCTTCAATTGTTAGGGTTTTCGACCTTCCCAATTTTACAAGAGCTATCAAAATTTTGCAATGCGCCTAAAGATGACGTCTATATTGATATTGATGATTAAAGGGAATTAAGGGTTTTTGGAGATTCAAACAAGAAATTGTCAAAAATTTCCTTTCAAAATGGCTTATAAACCTTTTATGCCCTCTAAAAATATTTTCAATCTAATTTTTTTTGGGCCTCCGAATTTTTAGCTAAAAACATTCAAAAAATTGTATATAATAACAAACTATTAATTCAAATTAAATGCTATAAACATAGTTTGATTTAATTGTACCCCATAGCAAACTGTTGTTATTTCGCCTCTCTCCTGGTGAATCTCGCTCGCCACTCTCGTTCTCTCCCTCGCCTCTCTCGCTTTTATACAAACGCAAATGTATAAAATGCATTTGTGTTTGTATAATGCGACAGAAAATTGTATATATACATATATTTTTGTTCCCTTCTCTCCCAGATCTCGCTCGCCACTCTCTCCCTCGCCTCTCTCGCTTATACAAACAGAAATGTATAAATTGTATTTATGTTTGTATAAAGCGAGAGAAAATTGTATATACACATGCAAATACATATATTTTCGTCTTATACACTTATAATTATACAGTACAAATATTCCTCGACCTAGTTCTCTTTTGCCTTTCTCACTTTATACAAACACAGATTATACAATTGATTTTTTTGTATATGTATACCGAAACAGAAACATGTCACGCCCCGAGCTACCCCCGAGACGCGGACACGGGACCTAGGACCACAAGTGATCCCTAGTTAACCCTGTTGGCATGATTATGAGCATACTAAAGATAGTAAACTGATGCAGAAGCTAAATCATAAATAAACTGAAGAGATGGGGAATACCCATTTACTATAACTGAGATATATGAAAACTGATGAGTTTAATACAAAGAAGATATTAACTTAATACTAAGCTGAATCTAACTATGTCCGAAATAAGCCTCGAAACTAACTAGAAATGTTGGGACATGCCCCAACTAGGTCTAGCAAAACTGAAACTAAAGACTAAAAGTGATAAAGATAAATATGTCACTAGTCCTCGAAGAATGAAGACTCACCACTAATGCTGCTGAACTAGAGATCGGGAACCGATCTAAACGTGATTTGGATACTGAGAACCTGAACCTACATCACGAGAAGATGTAGCGCACGTATGCGTCAGTACTTGAAAGGTACTGAGCATGCAGGATAGAGTAAAGCTGAAATAACATATAACTGAACAAAGCAATAAAGCAATGAAATAATATGAACATGATATAGATACTGAATACTGAGCTAACTGAATGCAATGACCAATTTATAACATTCGAAGACTAAATACTGGCTGTACTGAAATATGGTCAATGCAATAGAGTCTGACTGAACTGTGGGAGCTACTAATAACCGAAATAAAACCACATAAGCTAAATGTGGAGTCCGATGTATACGCCCCATCAAGAGGACCCAATATACTCGGTCAAAGGTATAGAGGCATAACTGGCGTGATCACTAAACTGATATTGCCCACAGAGGGGACTTACACCTACGTGGCTCGTAGTTCTGGACTATATGAGTACGCTGAACCCTAGTTTAACTCGGTATTATGCTACTCCCAATGAATTAAATAGTTAACTGGTTATGACTGAATTTCTGTAAATACTGGATAGCTCGAAACTAAACATGCAAACTGAGAATGCAACAGTTAATCTGACAATGATGCATTCATAAACTGAGGCATGTATAACTGAATATATTATGACTGAAATACTGACATGTAGATACTCATACTTGAAAACTCCATTTTTTTAAAAACAATTCAACATCATATTATACCATGATCATTGATGACTTGGGAAGTCATACTGCATAAACATTGATGGTATATCTAGATACCATACTGTTCATACATTGATGACCTACTCAATTGTCATACTAATCATGTTTTAGAAGTTCTTTGTCAAAACTCATCTTAACTTTCTCAAAAACTCAGTTTAAAACTCAAGTATTGTCTTAAAGAAAAGCTTTCAAGATTTATAACTCAAAATAGGATTTATACTGAAATATACTGATAATGTGGCATAAAACTAGAGCATGTATATCTGAATAACTGAAATATCTGACCTAGCATATGTAATTCAAGAACTAACAAAATACATAGCTAGGGTTCTGAAATTTATGTAAGAAACTGAGCAATAACATGATAATCTAATTTGGAACATTCAAATAACTAATTCATGATGATCTGTTGAGATTCTAGAAACCCTAGCTATGTTCATAATCATCGAATCAAGAATCTGACTGAATTCTAGGGACCTAATGGGCGAAAGGAACCCACTAGTGAAATTCCACATACCTGGTGACGAATTTCACAGAGAAAACTTTTGATTTTGGGGATGGAACTGAAGGAACCTTGTTGCGTTCTTGAACTAGGGTTCTTGACTTTTTTCTCCTTTCTTGCTTCTAATTTTCTAAGTTTTGATTAATGATTTTGACTAAGGTAAATTCTAGTTATGTTTATGGGCTTAAACTGAATAAAACCTCATGATTTAGGGTTTAAAAGGTGTATCTAAGGGGTTAAATGAAATAGGAAAAAACCAAAAGACCCCTGAATTAACTGTTGTCGAAGTGACTGACGGTCCGTCGATTGGAACCGTCGGTCGAGTCTGCCTGACGGGGCTTCACTAAAATGAGCATAACTTTTTACTCGGATGTCGTAATTTAGCAAACTCGATGGCGTTGGAAAGAGGATTAAATTATCTATCTCACCATAGGTTGTGGGACACACAATTCCTTTTTTGATAAGAGTTATGACTATCTAAAGTTGACCCATCAACAATTTTCAACTAACTGGTTGCTGACCCTCATCTACGGTCAGACCTACGGACCGTGGATCGAATGACGGTCCGTGCTGGTCGACCGTAGTTTGTGTCAAAGGCTGGGTAAGGGAGGTCTCGATCCACGGACACAGACCACGGACCGTGGTCTGATCTACGAACCGTGGTCTGATCTACGAACCGTGGGCCTGTCCGTGAGTCGGGACTTGGCCAATTTTTCTGAGCTTAGCTAGGGAGGGGTTGTAGTGGTGAACCACGGACCACCAGCACGGGCCGTGGTCTGACCTACGGTTCATGGATGGCAATAGTGGGTTGCACATGCAACTTCTCAAAATCTACATTTTTGGTTTGTTTCAGATATGGGGTGTTACAAAACAGATTATATAGAACTGCTTTTTTTGTATATGTATAGCAAAATATACATATTTATGTTTGTTATGAAGCGCAATTATGCAAATTATAGTTATAGCATACAAATATGATTTTTGTGTTTGTTATATGTGAAAGTTGCTCAAAATCATTTTTAAACTATATCTCCAACTATTAAAACTAAAATACAATATTATCTTACATACAAGATTACGTAGTAACAAACATTAATAATGTAAAGGAAAAATGAAAATTATTACATCTTATCATTTATCCTTAATAAAATAAGCATCAATTAATTACTGTAAAAATACATATCAGGATCTGTAACATAAGCAATGGTGTCAATGAGTCACTCAACATGAGCAAAGTACATAAATATTTAATTGTGAAGAAGAAGAAGAAGAGGTTCAGATTTTTTGTTATTTTAAAATGAGAATAAATCTCTCTATTTATAGACAACAAAGGGTAGTGTGAACAAATGTATATTGTGCCTTATCGGAAAAGTTACAACTATTTGGAAAAGTTGCAACCCTTCAAAAAGGTCACAACCTTTCATAAAAGTCACAATTTTTCATAAAAGCCGCAACTCTTTATTACAGTCCCAACTTTTTATAAAAGTCGCAACTCTTCATTGAAGTCGCAACACTTCATAAAAGTCACAATTTTTCATAAAAGTCGCAACTCTTTATTAAAGTCACAACTCTTCATAAAAGTCACAATTTTTCATGAAAGGGAAGGGTAGTTTTGAAAATAAATAAATTAAAAGGGAATTATAATTTGTGGTGGCGCCACGTAGGCGAGCATAGGGTTCTCTTTATTTTTATATATATACTAGAGGGCTTAAGCCCGTGCTGAGCACGGGCCCAACAATGACCTGTTTGTATAGAGCGTTGATAGAACCGTTGCACGCCATAAAATAACAATGTCATAGGTATCATTAAATTATATGTAAAGTCATTGCAGGATGAGTACATCAATTTCGCTCACAAAGTCTTTTTGTATCGTCATTGAATTCTTCTTGATAGAATCTTACACCTAAGAAATTGAGATAAAACAATAATGAGTACATGTATTTGCAAAATCAATTAAAGAAAGAGGGCCAAACGTTCACAAGATTTCTGAAAACTGAAAGGAAAATAGAACTAATTACGTTATAAGTGTCATTGAATCATAGCAACATATACAAAATAAAGATATTTTATATGATCCCACTTCACTTTTACAAACTTAAAAGAGTTGGAAAATTAAATATATTTGCAATACATGTGGTGATGAACATCTGAGAATGAAATAGTTGAACTTTCTCTAGTAAAAGATTAACCTGCGAATATCTAACACTTAGGACTCAAAGCAGATGACAACATATGCTACTGTCAATAATTTCTTCAACTGCTATCATCTTGTATATCTGGCACATCCATTACCTTTTCAACAATGAAAAGTCCATCAGATAACTATTTATTCACAAAGAGAACATGAGACTCCGACTTTCATAATTAGCAATTCAGCCTTTGAAGGGATAGTAACTATTAGATGAATGACTATTTGAGAAATTAATATAGAATGGACATTCCCCATTAGTTACATTGCTTTATGGCTTTTGTCGAATTGGAAAAGTTGAGTCACAAACCAAGAAAACACTATAAGGATACATTTAGGAGTTTGGCCAAGTGGAATAAATATTAGACAATGAGGATGGGATTAGTACCTATTTGGATTTATTGAGAACTCTATGGGAATAGGAATTATCAGTTCCACGAAATAAAATAGAAGCAGCAACCATTGTTGCAGAAGTGTCAGCAATCCAATATGCGATCTTGAGTCTGTTTTTGTGTTAGCACATACCACCGTGTAGTCCTGCTGATCTGCCAGCTTTCTCATTGACTACACTTTCAATTCTCATACTACAGAAGAAGGCCACATAAAGATTCAATTGGACAATCAAATTCACTACATTGTTTGATCTCTTAAATAAAAACAAAACTACCAAATGAAAGCAGCACCATAGTTTAGTAGCAGCAGTACAGAGTGATATTCACCTTCTACACGCATAAATTAGGTTTTGAAGGAAGCAGAAACACACAACCACCTATTTCTACAATGTCAAATAGCAACAGACTTGTGGAGTATGTTTTTAACTTTTTTTCGCCTCACATGGGTCATGCCTCAAAATATCAGGGATGTTGTGATAAGCTGGAGTTGCTGGAAAGTTGATAGCACCATTAAGAGAATCTGGAAGATGATATTTGCAGCCATTTTTTGAAGTATTTGGAACGAAAGAAATAGAAGATGCTTTGATGGAATATCAACTACCTACCAATCCTTAAAAGCTAACTGCCTCATGTTTTTGTATAGTTGGGTTTATTTATCCCCTCTAGATTCCCCTGATTCATTTCTGAACTTTGTCAGCTCCCTGACTCTTAATTAACAATGTAAATGAGAGTTGACCTTTTGCTACTAAGCTTTTTTAACTATTATGCATCTACTTGATGCCTACAATAGAGCTAATAACTTCATAAAAAAAATTAGGTTTTGATCTACTAATAATTGACTCTTCATTGATAATCAAACATAAACCAAAATTGATTAGTTGTGCAATCACAACCTCAAAATGTAGAGACGCTAAAAAATTAATCCATGGAAACATGATAAATGGATCATATCTGACTTGAATAACAGAACAACTGAGTAACTCCTGCAAAAGCAGAACTAATGGGTATAAAATCAGTCGAGAAAAAAATAAAAAAATGATGGGGGGTGGACAACGGGGATTACCATATCCAAAGTCATGAAACTCATAAATTCAATTCAAGGCATCTCAAACTCCATTACGAACATGCAAGTAAAAAATTAATCAGAAATCCAAAAATTAACAAAGATTTTGAATCAAAATTTCCACATATTAATGAACATTAGAATCCAACTGTATATCCAAATGGAAAAGATGAAGTGTTTTCCAAGGTGAATGAGAAATGATTTTTCTTTCATAAGTGAAATTTAATTCTGCGATAGAGTTGCTAGTTTTGTTTTAGTTCTTTCCTCGCATACATCTATCGATTTTCAGCGGACATTAGCTTGTCCGAGCTGCTACTCTTTCATCAGTAATAATATTTAATTTTAGCAGTGATTCTTCGTCACAACACATGAACATTTTCTTCAATATGATCCAAAATGGTTAAATGTCCCCTTCTATTTACAAAATAACAAAAAATGTTGTTTGAAAAATTAGTTCAACATTCAGATGCTCCCAATTATTAAAAATAGGAAATTAGAACACGATACATTTTTTACATATATCATATCAAGAGAAGTGTTCCACTATTTATAGCAAATAGTTCAAGTAGAGATGCCACACATTCTCATCTTTCCTCCAAATTAAGAAGGGACATGACACATACAATGCAAGACAATGTGAAAGTGTTTTACGCCAGATACAAATATATCCTATGTCTTCTCAAAATTATCAAGAACAACATCTTATAAGGTCACAACCAATCAGTTGTGCTTTTCCTAGAAATATAATAAGAATATTTCGTTTTCTCCTAAGCAATGAAAAATACGACGGCACATGGTCCAGTTGAGTCTCTTCTTAAAAATATATGAACTCTCTTTCGAATAAGTATACATCAAATACACAAAAAGTAAAGAAAGTTATTATTTACAATCAAAAGATGTATACAAAGTCCTAAATTATAAGTAAACAAAATACTTGAAACACATGATATAACCTTATACAAAAAATGAATATAAAAATATATATTGCGTTCCACTCACTAATGAATATTTTCTCAGTTTTTTCCTTTACTGCACTTGAACTCCAGTCATAGTCCATCTAACTTCCCCAACAATGTAAGTCGAATTCATGGATGAGTGTTTTTTGCCTGCAAACATTTCAGCCATGAGGCGGTCTGCACTCCAAAAATCAATATATATTTCATAATTTGTAGCACTTAGTAGGAGTTCTGAAGCTCTTTACCAAAATGTGACAACTTGACTTGACATATGATGGTCTTTTTCAGAATTAAATGAATTTGCGAACCTAGAACCAACGATTTTTAGCATCCTATATTTGTCAATCAACAAAGCAGATACCATAAAATCTTGGTGCAAAATACCCCTCTCGTGACAATGTTGCAGTAGTGCAAGCAACTGCTATATGCAACACTTAATATGAAACTGGAAAAATACTTTAAAAATCAGGAAGTGCAATGACCAACAACAAACGAAAATTAACCTTGAATGATACGTCTCTTTTTCATTGCAAGGTTGTTGTGCATCAAATCCTCAACACCGAATGCGACATTCTCATTATACCCTTCTTCAATAGACATAACATACTCAAATCATGATTGCTCATATCTTCAAGTTCATCATAGGCATATCTTAATTCAACAGCCACAGTGTTGTGCTGGAGTTGTGCATAAGGGGATCCTGAAGTATCTTGGAAAAACATGGAACTATCAGTCAACTAATCTAACATTTTGAAAGAAGAAAGAAGAATCTAGAAAATATAGTAGCATAATGACCAAGATACTGAAACAAAATGTTAAAACTATTCTTCTGCCAAATACTTGCTCGAGTAATCAACCTGAATTTTCAATTACATAGGAGAACATGTATTCAAATCTTTGAACAATAAATTAAATCGAAGGATGCTTATAATTAAAAAGATAACATCAAGGAAACTCTGAAATTAATATAAATCTCCCAAATAAATTCTTGCACTTCACCAAAGGCTAGTGAAACAGTAATAGTGAAATAATTGGTGATATATATTTCGATCAAGCACACATTCAAAATTTACCATGATCTTTTCCAAATAGCATGCAAATGAAGGAGCAGCCAGAAATAAAAGAAGATTCAGATGGTATAATCACAACTATAATTTTTGTGCACAAGTACAACGCCAGACTCGAATGAGAAGACAAAAAACATTACATGGAGTAAGTTAAAACACCAAAAGTTAAAAGTTTTCTTGCTTGGAAAATTCTGTGACACGATAGAAGCATAGAAAGAGTCCCGACTTGAAATGTAAAGCTCAGGCTAAAATATGAAACTAAATATTATAACAATTACCTCACTTTCTAAGATTTTGAACTTACTAAGATTTCGAATTAACTTTGGACGGAGAGATTGCAAACGTAGTTATTATATTTCTATGACGATTAATTTCAAAAGGAAGAAGCAATGATTATGGGGAGAAACTTTAACATTTTTCAGTCCTTGTAACTGAAACTATTCTAATCACAATTTGTAAATCATGCATAACATATTCATAACAACTTTAAAAGCAACTCAGCCTATTAAAATATCATCATCATTAGGAGGGAATATGGTTCAAAACAAAATTGAATATTACAGCTACATAGTGCGAGAGAAGTTATTAGTGAAAAGGTAAGAGTTATTGGGCCATCTAAATAAAAAAAAACTTCCTATATGTATACTTGTTTGCATCAATTACTAAGGTGAAATGTAAAATGTAAGCAGATATCAATATATATTAAAATTATAAAACAACAATCTTTAGAACTTGCTTGTTTTTATGTTAAAAAATTTATTGTTCGTTTAAGACTCAGGCCAAGTCGATCTTGTTTGCAACTATGAATGTAAACATATGCTTTCTCATTAGACTATTTGTGATATGCCTCTTCACAAAAAGCTAACTACATATAAATATCATAATTTTTCTATTCATTTTCATTAGATGCAATACACAATGACAGTGCACTCAAAGTTCCATTGAATATTTGTTGAACAATAATTATTATTATTAGTTCGAATACTTTCCGATATGAAGCTTGAAAGTTACTTATCTATATCCACGATAGGAAAATAAATCAAAAGAACTTCAAGCAAGAAAACTCAACAGTGCAATCTCTACTCCAACATGAGACCTCAACCTTAATACACAACAAAATGGGGATTTATGAGTTTAGAAGCAACTATTTCCCCTGCAATGCTAGGTCTAGCACTCAATGTGGGTTACAGTGACTTACAACATAAATTTGTTGCGTCCAACTTTCAGAAATTTTTGAATAAAATTTGAGCAAGAATTATCGAAACACTCACTTGCAGTAATTTGCAATAGCTATTTCACAATCCCATGTCTCCTGACAAATATAAAGTTGAAAAACTTTAAACTATAATAAAGAGACATGCATGACAAATGATGTGCAAACTATGGATACAAATCAATGAGAGAAGTACTAAATTAGTAATACAAAATAAGCTATGGAAGTTTATGCACATTACCCTGATTCAATCTTTCTCAATATAAAAGACCCATAAATTTTTCGAAAAAATCAACTAATTAAAATGGAAAAATCAAATATGTACAAAGATAATGATGAAGAGCTATCCGACCAATGTTGAAGAAGAACCGATTTGAAGTGATGAAATACATCAATTCTACATGAAAAACATATAACATAGTGAGAGAAAAGAGAGAAGTAAAAAAGATGAAATTGTGTTTTGGGTGGATACCAAATGTCTTTCACAATGACAAAGATGTAATACGTGTCAAAAGGAAAAGGGAGATGGTGAAATTAAATTCATACACGTGATTGAGAAAGAATGTGAAGAAACAAAATCGGCCAAATTTGTAGTACAATTTACTTTACTTTTGGTACAATTGATTGATGCCGTGATAGTCTTTTTCTTGTTCACTTATAAATAAGGGTAATAACACACACACACACACACACACACATATATATATATATATGAGATTTAAACTAGAAAAATCATAGTTGTAGTTTGCTATAATTACCACTCGCGACTAGCATTATACATTAATTACGTGGGCTAACTTCGAGTTTGTATAATTAGTCACGTTTGTATATATATAATTCGCCAGAATATACAAATACATATATATTATA